GAAGCGCTCTGGTTGCGAAGCCGGAGTTGATGCACTTTCTTGTGGTGTCGAGCAACGAAAGAAGATGGTGAAGAATCGAAGATTTAAAATTAACATTAAGGAACGGAATTTCACCTTTTCTTAACTCCGAAGGTCCCTTTTATACCCTTTTTCCCCACTTGGTTAAAACTGAACATTTCCCTCTGTAAGTGATTTAAGTAGGAATGCAAGAATAGTGGAAACTTACATGCACCAAAATGATAATGTCCCCTACAAAAGTCGCTCCTGCCATTAAGATAATTTAGTGAGGTTAATGCCATTTTTAAATATAAGGGATGTCTCTGATATTGTTATAAAGATCGTCGATATCTTTATATAGTTTCTATTTATTTATTTTGGAGAGTTATATTCACACCACAATTTTTATTTATTGCACCACCTTTAAGTTGTACTTAAGGTTCGTAATCCTTTTTATATTATTATTATAGCACTTATGTTCCTATCGATTTTTCATGTTAATCTTATCTTCAAAACTTTTCATTAGTTAACATATTTTGTATTTTATAACAGTTTTATGTCCAAAAGTCCGTTGAAATGGTGTAAAATAACTCATTTTTTCATCATATTTTAAAAAAATAAAAATTGTGAAAAAAATATTTTTTTCCCCATTTCAAAGTATGAAAATAAAATATTTTGATATAAATCATTATGAAGGACAAGATGTACAAATTAATGGAATGTTAAAGATGAGAATTCGGCCTAAAAAAGTTAAAAAAATAATCATTACAATGAGAGATTGAGAAATTTAACTACAATTAAAATGTAGTATATCAAATAAATATTGTGCTGGCAATATAATCACCCATTTATTTTTTGTGAAAAATATTTGATTTGGGTACTTTTTAGTTTCCAAAATAACCCTTATGCCGACCTAAATTACGCACATTGCCATGGTGACACAAAAGTGTTAACATTTGACGATTCGGCACACCACCATTAATGGTACCCACACGTCCACTGTAAAAAGATAAAAGTAAAAGTAAGAATTAAAAATTGCAAACCTCATCGTGTCAAACTGATGGACAAGTAGTCGGTGGAAGAGCTTTCTGGCAGTGATGACCCCGAATCCGGCAAAACACCGGAGCTCATCATCGGGTTCGAACCCACCAAGCTTGTGACATCGAAACCAAGGTTGAACAGTTGGGCCGAAATTCTCTCGGAACTTGGGCCGGGCTTCATGTTCTCATTGAATAGAGCAAACAAATATATGTTCAAATCCAAATTGGGCCTCATTGGTGGACATAACATAGTGGAAATTACATAAAGTGGTAATTACACAAAATCCTTTTTTTCAACTTCACTTTTCCAAAACCAAATGGGAAGTTTTACTTTTCAAAAATTAGATATTTCAATTCTAAATATTAAATAGATAACTATTTCCAATTTCCTCATGTTCCCACCATAGAATCCCCAATTTTTCACTAAATCCCTCACCCCCTCCTCCCCTATCTCGTTCTCCCCACCGTGCTGGTGTCGCCGCCGTCGCCGGCGACCTTTCTCCACTGTGCTACTGCTGCTGGTGAATTCTCCTCTCCTCTCCCTCCCCTTCTCCTTCCTCTCCTCCCCTTCCGTTGTCGGATTTTTTGATGCTGCTGCTACCGGCGTTGTAGCAGCGTCACGATGCTGCTGCCCGAATTCGCATCAGCGTCACGACGCTGCTGCGACGCCGGCAGCAGCGTCGCAACGCTGCCACGTTTTTGTCCCTGAAGAGCGTCGTCGCCATAGCCTTCGAGAAAGCGGCCACTGGTCTGTGTGCTCTGTGTGGAGGTGGGTGTGATTTGTGTGGACGTGGGCGTGATCTGCGTGGGAGGGGTGGCCACACCGTGGTGGTGATGGTGGTTGTGGGGGTGTTGGAAGTATTGTATCTATTTTNTGCGATACAAGCGATGGTCCGGTAGTTGTGGTGGCGTGGCGTGGCGAGGTGTGGGCGGCAGTTGTTTGAATCTATGTTGTGTTTCGTAACCAACTGGGACCGCATAATGGAATAATTGTGACCACATAATGGATTAATTGTGACCTTAAAATTCAACAATTTGTGACTAAATATTAATCTGAGCCATGTGCAAAAATATTTTGTAACCTGTGTTGTAATCATTTGAAAATAACTCGTGACTATGAACAAAATCCTAAATTGTGACATGGGCTGTGACTTGTGACCTGAGTCGTCGGAATTGGAGCAATCACCGAAACGGTAGACGGAATCGGAGTAGTCACCGAAACAGTCGTCGAAAAGTTCGCCGGAGTAGGGTGATGATCGGAATGGTCGCCGGAGCGGTAGGGGTGGTGAAGGTGGGATGGGTTAATTATATTTTATTATAATTAAATATTTAATAATAAATTAATTTAATAATTTATTATTTCATAAATAAAAATTTAAAAAAATCTAATAAAAATCTGATTTTGGTAATTTTAAATTTGTGTTTTTATTTTTGAAATAGACTAAACTTATACTCTTGAATATGTAATCTTCCCTTACATAAATCCAGATGTTTAAATATTGCTTTTTAAAAATCAAGTCTAAAATTATTTATTCAAAAATCAGGTACTATATTAAAACCCTAATCAATTTCATCCCAAACCCTTGAAACCATTTCCATTTTCTCTCTCTCCATCTCTCTGTCTTCTCTTTCTCTCATGTCTTTCCGCATTCTCTCCTCTCTCTCTCTCTACCAATCTTCACTGGCGACGTCGCTGCGCTCATCTCATCAATGCAGATCCGCTTCGCTCATCGATGGTTCGGTGGTGGATGTGCGGAGTGTTGTGGTGGTGGAAGTGTGCAATGCGGTGGTAGGAACGGAGATCGGGCGCTGTGTGCGGTGGAGGTGGAGGTGTGCGGTGCAGTACGACGGTCGAGTGAGTGGTGTGGTGCCATGCGTGGGTGGTGGTGCGGTGGAGGTGGAGTTATTCGCCAGACCGTTGCTACAGTTCGAGGGTGCAGATCCATTATTCTTCCCCTTTTTATTTTTATTTTTTGAGTCATGTGGTGATGACGGTTCGGTGATGGTGGTGGAGATGTGCGGTGCGGTGGTGGGAATTGTGATCTTTGGTGGTGTTGTGGTGGAGGTGTGCGGTGCAGTGGTGGTTGTTGTGTGCTGTGTGCAGCGTCCTGGCAGTGGCAGTGAGGGTGGTCGTGGCGGTGGTCTTAGGTGGGATGAAATGAGATGGGGTGGGTGTTTGTGATCAATTATTTGGTTGACTGTGACCAATAGTTTGTTAATTTTTGACAAATAAATAATATATGACTTAAAAATTGTGACTGTGACTCACAATTTATTAAGTTTTAATTGAGTTGTGACCAATAAAAATTTTGATTTTTTCAATATGTGACCTATAAAAAATTTTAATTCGTGGCCAAAAAATAACTCGTGACTGTAAAATTCTTGATTTGTGACCATAAATTAAGTTGTAACCAATAATTTGATAAGTTGTGATCGAGAATTTATAATGAATAAATGTTGTAACCAATAAAATTTTCGATTCGTAATCGAGAAATAATATGTGACTTACAAAATTTTTGATTTATGTTTGAGAAAAAATTTGTTACCAATAATTTGTGAAGTTGTGACCGAAAATTAATTTTTAACTAATTAATTAGATAATTATCACCTTAACAATTGTCTTAATTGGAGCAGTCGTCTGAATAAAGCGGCGACTGGAGTAGAGCTGCCATCAGAGAGGTCGCCGAATAGTCCCCGGAGCAGTAGGGGTGTTGGAGGTGGTGGCGGTGGCGGGTTAATTATATTATATTACATTTGAATTGTATAATTGTGATTTTAATATATTTAATTAATAAAATATAATTAATTAATTAATACCTTATTTTTGCAATTTTTAAACTTAAGACCTGAAAATTGATTTAGTGATAGTTAAAACCTGATCCATGAATTCTTTCCCATGACATAACCTTCTTCTCTGCTATCAGCTTCAGCAAATTCATTTTGTACTTTGTAGTCTCCAAATGATTTTAATGCCAAAATCAAGACATTTGTTCCGACGTGGTTGCCATTTGTGGGACTCAATACCTGATATATGTATTATTAAAATTGATCAGGGATTAATGAAAATGGTAATTTAAAAATCTGTCAAGGTGTAATTTCCTCTACCTAAATTCACGGGCTTTCAATCCATTGCCCTAAAATTCACAGGTCTTAAAAAGATAGACAGAACATAAGTTCTAGGTTTTGCTATGTGTACACAGTGATGTCCTCACAATAGGGGGGCACGTGATTTTTTTTCATTGGTCGTGAGCTCCCCTCTAGTGTGAGAGGGTGTACACCGAGATGTCAACCCCAATGTACAATTAGCAAAATCCCTCCTAATTTGCTGGTGCTGTTTGTACAATTTCATTCTCTCTATAAACTCTAATTCAAGTACGTACATAAAATTTTTAATTTAATTATTAAAATGATAAATACTTGCAAACCATACAACGTTCTCTTATAATTTTTAAAACTCGTAAAATTTTATTATTATTTTCGATTTCACCAATCTATTCTTTTTCTTAAACAATTTCAAAGCACCGATTCAAGTCTAATTAGTTAAGGAAGAGATTGAAATAGAGCTCAATTTATTTGTTCTCCCATCTTTGATTCTTATATCTGAATTAAATTTAATAAATCACCCCACATACAAAATCCCAAAAGCAAAGGTGTAACGAGAAAGATATTTCTAGTAATGAGGAATTTCCAGTTGATAGAATTTATTTAATTTACATGGTGGTGCTTAAAAGCACATTCTCGAGTCCCCTTAAAGGTCAAAACAGAACTTCGCATTTGTAGTTAGCATTCATTAATTTTAGTACTTATCATTTAACGTAATTTATAGTACGCAATACCAAAACAAATCCGAAATCAACTCGTACTATGTAGTATACTTGACAAATCATCACTTTATCGAGCCTGGACTAGAGGCCCATAGTGATAACGTGCCTACCCCAACTGAGCCATAGAGCATATATGCCCTCATGGGGTGGCCACGTTTTCCTTGGAAAGTGGAGCAATTTCCTCCCCTTCAATACCAGGTTCACTGTTGGCAGCCCCTAAGCTCAGCAGCATCTGTTCCCAGTTCTTAGCAGGTCCCTGTACGAAGACAAGGAGTTGGAAATTTATTCATTTCACACTTGTCCGTTTAAGAGTGCTAGAAATGAAAAGTTACGAAATAAAGCACAAAGGAAAAAATGACAAAAGCTTCATAAATGCCTACCTTCCAGGAGAGGTCCTGTGACATGCAATTTTTTATCATTTCTCTGAAGGCAAGAGTACCATAGACTGCAAGAGCTCTGCTGACAGCTACAACTATCTTAAGCACATCAGCAGGGTCGACTTTGGCACACTGATCATACAAAGAGGAGTCATTGGTATTCTATAGTGAAAGTAGTTCATATATTCTCACAATTTATGAACGGGAGAAAATATTGAATTACATACTTCAACGTTGAAATCTCCCATATGGAACCCAGTAAATCCTTCTTTCACAGTGTCAACAAGACCACCAGTTGAGGCACATATGGGTATCTGATTCACACAGTTTTTACATTAAAAACAGGTAAAATCACAATTAAACATTTGTGAAGTGAAAAAACTTCAGTCAAAAAAAGTATACAATAATCTAACGTCCTTACTGTTCCATATCTCATAGCATGCAACTGGATGAGACCGCAAGGTTCAAATCTACTTGGGATTAACATGAAGTCAGCACCAGCAGTGATCGTGTGGGCCAAGGAAACATTGAATTTTGCCACTCCTCTAGCTTTATCAGGATACAACACCTCAAGCTGTTTAATCTGTTGCTCGAACCTTTTCTTGCCAGTTCCCTGATAGAACAGAACTTGCCAATTTAGTTCAATATCTATTTCTGTCAAAACAGACACCCACTTATTGGAGGTTTAAGGATTTCATTAAAAACTTACAAGTACTATTATCTGCACATTCATTCCAATAAACTTGGGAATGGCAGCAGCGAGAATATCTGAGCCTTTTTGCTCTTCAAGCCTTCCAATAAATCCAATCACAGGAATGTTCCTGTCCACTGGCAACCCAACTGCTGCTTGGAGAGCTTCCTTCAACAAAGACTTCGCCTCCATAACCTGTAAGCCACATACATAAATGCTTTTCAGGCAAGAGGACTCTAAATTGTTACCATAAGGTTGTGAAAACAACGTGCAAAAATCTCTCATTTCTTAGCCCAGATAGAAAGAACTAAGTATAAAGGTCTTACAGTTGTGATATCGTAGTGGACATCAATGTATTTATCAGTTGAAGGATTCCACTCTTGGGTATCCATGCCATTTACGATGCCAGTTATGCACGTCCTACGAATGATGTTGTCCAATTCTACACCCTTATCAACTCCAGAAACGAGTTCCCGGGCATAGTAAGGGCTCACTGTTAGAACCCGGTGTGATTCTAAAATTCCAGCCTTCATCCAGTTAATTTTCCTTCCCTTGACTGGCTTCTGATACCTGCAACCATTAACGACGTCCATGCTTGTTAAGAAATTTGACCAGCAACCTACAAATTCTTCAGTTCTATATCAATTTTATAGGTCATCGCTCGTACCCATCAATGAAATCAAAGGAACTTTTGTAGTTGTCGGGCAGACCAAGAAGATAAAAGTCTGAAAACGAAAACCTGCCCTGATAGGCAATGTTGTGGATGCAAAAGGCAACCTGGAACCATTTCAGTCCAAAGTCAGAATGGAAATGCAACTTAATTCCGTCAAATTTTCTTGTGATGTGTAGTCGAGCAAATATAATATGCATCTTACCTTGGCATTCATGTATATTCCTCTAGATTGGTACATGGTCTTTAAGTAGCATGGAAGCAGAGCTGTGTGCCAATCATTGGCGATGAAGATCACATCTTCCCCTGAGGATAAGAAAGATCAAATACAGTTAACGCTTTCATTTTGTTCACATGTTTTAAGATCTTTTCTAAATATGCCTTTCCAAATACCATATGGCCCTGAGAAATATTTGCTGCTGGTTAAATTCAGAACTCTTGGTGCCATCAAAGCTGCCTGAAAGCACAAAACACTGAAGTGAGCATGATCCAGAACCCGTGATAGCCCATTCAAATGCATAACAAATATAGGAAGAAATAACATATGGGGTGGATTATGCTGGATGAATAATTTTTATGCTGAACACAGAGAAAATGGAAACAAAAAACCCTGACTTATTGGCTTGGTGGTGAAAAGAAATGTACATGAGCCCAAAGTTTGTCTATATCTACATAGTGTGCCAACAGAAGATTCTTCAAATAAGTGGGGGTGTGGATTTATCGTATATGGTCTTTCCCCACATGCCTTTTCCACATCTGTATAAAAACCTAGAAAGCCCCTTAGTGGTCAAAAACCCCACCCTTCAAGTGGTGAAAAGAAATGAACTCGAACCCAAAGTTTGGTTAAATATCTACATACTGTGCCAACAGAATTCTTCAAATAGGTGGGGTGTAGATTTATAGTATATGGTCTTTCTCCATCAATTCAAAAATCTAGAAAGCCCCTTAATTGTCATATGATTTAATTACAAATTTGGAACAATGAGAGATGCCACAAGAAGACTGCAGTTAGCATTCTTAAAACCTTCGTTTTGTTCCTGACAGATGCAAGTGGTTGAAAATCTTTCACGACATTTTACAGCAAATACTCACCTGACATAACAAGCTGAAGCGAAGTTGGTTATCCTTGTAATCTGTTCCAGCATTCGGACCATAAATCTTTGATCCAGTTTTTCCCCAAACCTTTGGAAGTAAAAATATTAAAAAGTAAGAATCAAGTCAAGGTTGTCATTCTATGATACAATTTGGCTATACATTTGAGCACTACTAATTCACAGCACCTTCTCCAGGAACATTGGATGATCAACAAAAACACGGTCAACTCCACGTTTATAGCAGTGGAAAAAGCGAACAGTCTCAATTCTGCCTCCAACTTCTATCTGCAGTAAAATACTTTGACTTGACTATACCTCTAGAGTCTAGAGAAAAGGAAATTACAAAATGCATGGCATTTTCCCAGTTTACCTTAACAAACACGCTAGTGTCCCAAGCATCTTTGTACTGATCATAACGTGGAGACACAGTCATCACCCGGTGGCCGTTGGCCTATGAAATAAAAGCATTGATCATGTTAGTTAGACAAAATCATCCTACAAGAAGCTATTTGTTCCAGTTTTTCATAAATAACAAAATGTGAAATGGCTAATTGATTTGTATTTTGCAAGCAGGGAAAATTGTGCTTACTGCCATGGCTGGTGGCAACCCTCCGAGAACGTCACCTAGCCCACCAGTTTTGCTCCATGGACCGATCTCAGCTGCTACAAAGACCAAGTTCATCCCTGTCCCGCATATAATCGTTCCAGACGGTTTGCCAGCACTGATTTTTTTAACTATGCTCCTGGATTCCTTTGCAGTTACTTTTGCATTGGTTCTCAATTGGAGCATATCAACCGTGTTCATTGATCTCAACCCATTGTGAGTCACAATTTGATTCCTGAGGCCTATCTGCACCAAGTTTGATTTACTCTCAACTGAAGTTGCTCCACTGTGGACATGTGATACAAAGTGTGACGAGGTTACAGTTGCCATAGTCGACACTTCGCTCTGAATCCAAGAAAGAGAAAAACAGCAATCAGCATAAATGCAACAGAAACTAAACTAGAGGTTTCTACTTCCCCAAACATACTCGTTTAGCTCAAATACTCGACTTCAAATTTTACATAGTCAATCCCAGTAGCTAAACTTGGAATTCCAAAAAAAGAACCATGCCTTGCCTGAATTTCGTTCATAGACACATATTGTCACATACATCAAACAATAATTTTTTACAGATTAATTTTTTTTATTCCTCTACACCATCATAACTTTATTCTCAAAACTCATATTAGATTTTAATATCCTATTAGAAATAATTTAGGAACCACAAAAAGTTGGTTTTACAGCTTTACTAAAGATGGTTAACAGTTATCATCTATGCATCAAAAGTAGAAATGGTATTATCAATAAAAAAGTGTTTCTTTCTATCAGCGCTTTGGAATCACTAAGAATCCCTTTACATATAAAAGTCAACAAAAGGGAAATAAACCAAATACAAATATAAACCTACTCAACCCAGACATCTTGTACAGATTAACAATTCTTAACTCTACAAAATTGATCTTCACTTGTTAATTATAACAGATTCCGTTTCCACATTTAATTCAGTCAAAGGAACAGAATATTTAAAGTCATCATACCAACCAGCCCAGAGCTCATAAAGAGAGAAACAAAAGGAAGAAAAAAGCGTGAAAAGAAAAAGAAAAATTAACGTACCGATAAGTTATAGTCTACGCTCTACTACAATAGCTCAATTATCAGTTTTTAAAAAGCTTAGACTCAGAAAAACCGCACAAATTCTATCAAAACAGTTAAGAAAAAGGAGAAAAATTAGGAACCGATTCGATTTCGTAAAATCTACCAAAAAATCAGTGAGTAAACAGAATTCTTACCAAGTCACAGCAAACTTCGAGAGAGCCGCGAGTTCAACCGGTAATGGTTTGGTGCAGTGAACTGCAATCAGTGAAGCGTCCTCATTTGTAGTGGGTGCAAGTGGGGCCTACAATTATCGGAGAATGGGCTAATCACCTCAAAAATTGTTCCACGGTCACATGAAATGAAGGGCCCATTGGAGGGCATCCCTGAGAATATTACTCAAAAGTTGAGGCATTGAATGCAACTGATTAAAAGATTTTTTCGAAACGACGTCGTTGTGTTGAATTCTACGGCTGGAATTTTATACGGCCCAGCTTATGTAAATGCCAAAAGCTTAAATACGAGATTTTATGGACCGTCTACATTATATTGTGCTTAATTACGAAATGGTCCTTGATCAATTATTTCTCTATATTTTTTACGTCCACAAATTTTTATTTTTTATTTTTTTTTCTTTGGTTGGTCATATCTTGGCACTCATTTTCCAACTTTGTCGACTAGTAAACTAACGGTAGTAAAGTTATTTTTATTATTTATTTAAAAATAAAGAAATTACTATCAGCATCTTCTGAAATTCTTGTCAAACGATATACACGGAAATAAAACACGTGAATATTTGAGAACCCTCAATTATGAAATTCATTTGGTTTCATATCACAACTTGACTTGAATTCCCTTTGTGGCTGGAATTTGTTTTTCAAATATGGGGTGGAAATTGAATGGACAATTTTGGCAGTCAAAGATTTTATGTGTGGACCCATCCCTTGAAGCTGCTCTTATGCTTGCAAGCTGTAGGATTGCTGCTCTATCCATTTTCTCAAAAAATGGATATTTTGTAATTTAGAGAACATTTATAAATTTAAAGAGTAATAAAAATTAAAATACTCCAACAATTTCTATATATTTAACACTTAATTTTACTACTCTCAATATGTATTTAGTATTTTTTTTATTATCTTGTATTTCCAACCCACCCCCCTCCAAATTATTGTATTATTTCTCTCTATTTTCTTTATATGTACTATTTAATTGGATTAATATATGGATTTGGCTTTTCAAAATCTCTATTTCAAAATATTAATTTTAAAGAGTCTCTCATATCATAATTTTAAAGATTGACACTTCAAAAAGGCTTTAATTTTTAAAGTTCTTCTGAAAATATTCTAATGTGGATTAAATAGCATTGAACGTTACTAAATAAAAATAGTTACACTATATATCATACCATTCAGTATAATAGGTGTCAAATAAGTATGGCTCGGATGGTAGTAATTCAGTTTAACGGCTCAAAACATGAAATTTCGATGTTCATATTCCAATTTATACACCAATCATCTTGCCTAGTCCCTTATTCTCAACTTTCATTATGTTTAAGGCACATCTATCACCACCAATGGCCAAAGGTTATAATACCATAATATCAAAGTTCAAAATCACCTTCAAGAATGTGTGCAAGTGTGGAGAAAACTTAAATAATTTTGAGAAAAGTTGGAAACAAAATCTGCAAGATAGGTAAAAGAGTATATATAGAAAAAAAGATTTAGCTTTTCAAAATCTTGAATATGGTATTGGACGTAACTAAATAAAAATAGTTACACTGTATATCATACCATTCAGTATAACTAGGTGTCAAATGAGTATGGTTCGAATGATAGTAATTCAGTTTAACGGCTCAAAACATGAAAGTTCGATGTTCATATTCCAATTCACACCAATCATCTTGCCTAGTCCCTTATTCTCAACGTTCATTATGTTTTGTTGGAAAATTCGAAATTGGTTGTGACCAATTTAAGTGATTGTTTAAGTGGAATTTTTTGTTAGGTGAATGAGAAATTAAACCAAACTTAAAATGCTTAAATGCTTGAAATTGTTGGAAATTGTATAGAATATTGT